GGCTGGCGGAATCTGACTTAGGCCCCGAACTTCAGGGTCTATAATTTGCGTTTAGGCCTTGTCCTCCTCTTGGTCGCGTCCCTGAATTCTATCAATTCTGTGATTGGATTTTGTGATGCGCGCTTTGACATATGCTCCAGAAAGGCGCATATAGAAATTTAAAGACAAAGAAAGAAAGAAAGAGAGCAGGGCGAATGCGCGTTCGCGTACTATGGACGGCTCGCTTGCGCTCTAGAAAGGCGCGCTCAGGGCGCGTTTTGCAGAGAGAAAGACAGAGAAAGAGAAATTTAAAGAGAAAGAGAGAAAAAAGGTGTTCTGGATAGCGCGATTCGAAGCGCTCCGATATATACTCCAGAAAGGCAGGCTTAGAGCACGCTTTGCCGAGAGAAAGACAGCGAAAGAGAAGCTTAAAAAGAGAGAAAGAAAGATGTCAAGATATAAATTCTTTTATAATAGCAGATTTATTCCATCGTATTGCTTTTGTACAATTTTTGGTGTTATATAATGCACCTTGGATTAAAGGTCTTGAACCTAGTCTAGTTGAGCCTAAGGATAGTTGCTAGAGGAAAACAATATAGAGATGTGAAAAACAAACGACAAACAAACAGCTGCTGAATTTTACATGGTAACGGACCAAGGATCCTAGTAACAACAATCCAGGTGAACTCCAATACAACAACAGGCACAGACACACAAACACAGACAACGGAGGACAAGCCTTGACCCTACAACAGTAGCTTGTATAGTTGCAACAATGACAACGCAAGCAGCAATAGCTTAACTACAAATTTATAACATATATGGGATTGCAAAACAACGATTACATAGATTTTCTATAAGCAGCGGAACAGGCCACAATAGAACTCACAGAGCTACAATTACGAGCAGCGGCATCAATAATCGAAGATGGTGAATGATATGTTTGCCTTAATATTGATTTGAGGTATATCCTCATCAATATAACAATAGGAGCAATAACTGCAGCTTGCAAACAATACCAACACGCAATTAGCTTCGAAATATACCGACAATTATGGATCCGCCCGCTTCTCCATCCCATTAGGGGCAAGATCAATTGCGAGACAATAGACAAACATTCCTAGATTCCGTGAAGATTACCGTATTACTTAACGAAACAAATGAACCATTACAACAACACCTACAACTGCTTTCAGGACAAAACCCAAATTATATACGAATCAAACAAACAATCATCGAATATTACAGGTCGACAATTGCATTTAGCAAATTACAACAATTACGATTACAATCATCCAGTATAACGACAAATTTTGGTGGAAGACAAACACCTAATATAACAATTATACAAAGAAAGAACAAAAACAAAAGCTACGAAAAATACAACGGCTACGAATACAACAATTACAACATCAAATACAAAGAAAAAAAATAAAGCATAAACAATCAATAACTATAACAACAATCCGATTGATTTCGGCAATCCATTCGGAAGACGTAACAAAAAATACAACAAAAAAAAAAAAACAATAAACACATATTACAAATATTAAAAACAAAACACCCTATTTATTTATATTCTTCTTATAATACATTCGTAATCTTTTTCCTATATATTATTAACTTTTACTTATTTGTTCTTCCTATTCTTTATATATATTTTATTCTTTTTCCTATATATATGTTGTTTTATTAAAATATATCATAATATTAAGTTTAATTACCTTATTAATTTATAGTAAATTTTAAAAATAATATATAAAAAAATAATTTCCATATATATATATATTATATATTTATTTTTAAATATACATCATATTTAATTCAAAAATAATTTCATTATATGTAATCATTTCATCATATTTAATACTTTGAAAATTCAATATTGTAGAAAATATTTTTTAGGCCAGATTTCAGTCAAATTGCTGCATCTTTGTCTACAATGATTTGATTGTGGAAGTGGAAAACCTCCATGAGGTTGTTTTATTCGAATATTTCCAGATAAATGATTGTCCAAATGAAATGTTTATCCAAGCGAACATCAATAATATTTCATAATGTCTAGATGTTGATGTTTTGGGAATCTTCCGACCCAATGAATATCCAACAATTCTGGATGCCTGAATTCTGATGGATATCGGCATCGTTCCTCCTCCTCCTTTCAACCTCTCAGGTACCCATCGGCAACTCTCACAGGCCCTACCGCCGCCTCGTGGCCTACAATGGGAGGCCCTTACCGCCGGCACCGACCACGGGGGCCCGGGCCATTTTTGAAGCCAAAGGATGCCATGCCATGGGGGAGGAGACTTCGAGTCAAAGGAGACTTGGGACGATTGAAGCTTCTGGGCCGCTCAGACGGGTTTGGGTTTGATCCTCAATAGATCGTGATCTTTGGTCTTGCGCCACACGTTTTGAAGGGTCGCTAGGGTGTTTTTGCTTCTCCGTGCATCCTTTGATGAAGATGCAGCCAGAAAAGGAGATTCTCTGAGCAAGGATCTATTGAATCCATGATCCATGATCATTCATGATACAATTTCGCTGTTGAATCGAAACACCACGTGGTTCACCCTCCACTGGAGAGGTCATATCCCAAGTCACGTAGCCTCACGTTTGTTCTCAAATGTCAACCAGGATCCACTGGTTTGGGTCTGACTCTTCGGATAAACACGAAGCAAATGGGCAAACCAAAAGCAGAAGAGTGTCTTTTGGGGCTGAAATTGACCTTCTCCGAAACAAGCCAGTTTCGAACTTGCCAGGAAATCCTGCAGGGCCCTTTTCAAAGCAACCTTTTGGGACCTCTAGGTACATAGTTCTACCAGGAATGTCATTGGGACAGTGAATCTTCTTTGGCCTCAGATCTTCTCGGAAGATGGCTGGACCGTTGAACCAACGGGAGCGGAGCCGGTCGCTCGGGTCACTTACCGGACCTGCCCGCTGTGGCAGGTGCGGTGCAGCGGGGTGCACCAGGTGGAGCGGGGGGGGTGACCCGGAGAGGAAGGTCGGATCTGTCTACAGAGTGCTCAGAGTGCTCCAGTGTCCGTTCGACATTCTTTCCCAGATACTCAGACTGGAAATCTTTCATTGACCCTAGAAGTCCAAAGACTTTTTTTTGACCGACTGAAGTACAGGAAATTCCTTTTTGGGTCACCTAGTCAGACCATTCTTTGTATAGTCGACTTGACTCCCAGGGATTGAGTCATTAGACCCCGCAACACCGGTCAAGATGGCATCCCCTGGAGCACCGGGCTCGGGCTCTCTTGACGGTTCACACGGAGGTAGAGTCGGACCAGGGACGCTTGGGTAGACATCGGATGACACTCGGCTTCCCAGATGTCATCACGCATGGGACTGGTCGAAGGAGTTCCGCCCGTCATCGAAACATGGAACAGCGCTGTTCCGTCATTGGTTTGAAGGAACACCCACAGGAAAACCCCCCTGGTTTTGAGAACAAAAAACCATATATCATATAAACCTGGACCCTCCAAGGCGTGCCCTGTCTGGAAGCCTAGGCCGGATCCGTGTGGGGTAGTCCAGCCAGGACACCCCGACAGGATGGTCCCTGGTAGGTTTCTGGTAGATGTTCCCCGATCCACAAATCCCCCTTGGATGGAAATCGTGTCTGCCTCCCCGGCCATGGCCGGGGGTGGGACCGCACCCGGCACCGGATGGCGAGGAGCGAAGTGAGCGAAACGCCCGAGTTTCGGCCCATCTCTTCCGAACTGTCTGACTCGCGCTGACATAGAAAACCGCGCCCAAACATGCCCTGAGCTTCTTCTAGCTCGTTGGACGAACTGGACCGAACCTTCGACCTTGTCCAGGAAGGATTTATGGTTGGAATGGTCCGGTGGTAGCCCAACATAGATTGCTGGTTCCGAGAAAGATCCAGGGGCTTCAACCAAAGATCTGAGGGGTCTTCATCTTGGAGTACAAGGCTTCGGCCCCTCTAGGCACGCAGCCAAACGACCAGTCTAACCGGATATTGCGTTCGCCAATACCAAGCCCCCCGTGCTCCGCCCCCGCCGAACCCGCCCCCGCAGTCTTCGCTGGTGCACGGCCGCCTGCGACACGCGGATGGAGGGCGTGGCGCTGGTGCCCGGCGCCGACGGAGTGATGCTCCTGGCGGCCGAGCCGGCTCGCCGGAGGGCCGGACGAACGGAGGGACGGACCGAAACGCGCCACGGGACGCGGGACGCCCCAAGCAGCACAGCTGGCGCAGTTGATGCACAGCACAGCCGTGCCCGGCTTAGTAGATCTTGAAGATGGCTCCCTTCAGAGTCAAAAAGGTGATGAATAACACAACAGAAGCACCAACAAAAATATGCTCCAAAATGACTTGAGGCACCAACAAGGCAGAAAAAGGTGTCCTGAGATGGCTAGTGGTTTTTGTTTCATGCTAACCTTGCCTGTTGATGAACATGGCCACCCCCGAAGCGTCCTAGAGATTCAGAACTAGGAACCGCCGTCAACATACGTGTTTTTGACGAGTGTTTGATGATGCCTAAGGAATCTGAAAGTGGACATTGTAAACTTACACACATGGCACCCCCATTGGCATTGGCTTCTAGAAATATTCCTCCATATCATAACCATATATCATAGGTTCATATCCTTTATGTTTATGACGTGTAAAGGCCTGGCACACTACATGGCGTCCTCTTTCTTGCTGTTTTTTCAGGCTCATCCCCATCCAGCCCGCTCACCTCCGCTCAGCTCCGCCTTCAACCGGACCCATCGCAGAAACCCGCAGAAACCCGCCGGGAGGACCCTGACCGGAACCTCTGAGTCTTGATGAGCATGGCCGTCAACATCGTTGACAGCACCACAATGGCATCACAGCCTCGATGCGCGCGGATGCTGCGAGAAGAGCCGCGCATGCGCATTCCATGCGCAGGAACTGCGAATTCTGCGCATCTGGCGGGGGTTTGATGCGAAGCGGGTCTGCGCCATGCGGGTCTGCGCTGACAGTTGATCCCAAAACCCTTCACGCTACGACCCTCCCGCCCCTTCCAACGGTCGACTCGGCCTGCGACCACGCGCAGCCGCCAGGCTTCGCCGCCCAACTTCCTGAGATAGGGGGCCGAGTTTCGGGTCCCAAACAAGAGACTGGATGTCCAGTGTGCAAATAGTGTGGATGATGACATGATAATTCTATATAGATGCCTAATAAATGATGATGGATAGTATGTGTTCAAATTTTGAGGGAGATGGAATCCTGGAAATGGTTCCCAGTCCCTTTCGAGATTTCAGCGGTTTCCAAGGGATTGGTTCTTGGACTCGCAGCCAAGGACTCAAGGGTTGGTGGTTGGTTTGTCCTTTGTTCTGGAAGAAGCTTTTTGGAAGACCGGTTCGTCATGGGCCTAGACTCTTGATACCTCTTGATTTTTGGCTCTTACCAACTGCGTGTGGGGGACAAAGCAAACAAAAGGAATCACATGGAATAGTAGATACAACCCATCCGCCCAAGTCTGATGTCGAAAGCAGGCCATCCCACCAAGCACGAATAGCCAAACATAGCCAAAACTCATCTGCGCCTTGAACTGCGCAAGTAAGTCATAAACTGGTCCCCAAACAAATAGTTGCATGCTAGGCAATCCAAGGTCACTATCTTCATCCAATCCGAAACATTCACCATCGACTCTATCTCCCCGCTGTTCTTTCGACTTGGTCACCATCTCCGAATGTTCACTCGGACCTCTCTTCTCCCACCACGCCCGCGGATTTGGCTTTCTGACGCAAAAAACGCACCCGCCCCGGCCCGGAACGCCAGTGCCCCCTACGTGAACCGACGTGGCTCGCTCGCTGGCGGGAGCGACATGGCCAAGGAGCTGGAGCACATGAGCAGGCACCTCCGGGGCCAGGCGCCCCGTGGCTAAGGTGCGACCATCCAACTGAGAGGCGTTGTAGCCCAACCTCCGCGACTTCACCGGTGAGGTAGCGGCGGGACCGACGCACGTGGGTGTTTGGGGGGTGCCCGTGTTGGGGGCGATCCGGAGAGGAGAGGAGAGGAGAGAGGAGAGAGGAG